AACAGGACTTAATGGGCCGAAACATTCCAGTCAACGGTTTCTTTTTCCATTTTCAATTTTTATTTGTTCTGATATATATTGCTATTACTTTTTATATTTTATTACTATTCATTACTAATTTATTAGATCGGTTACCATTCTTCAGGCTAGATACCATAAACTAAATCATAAGTAATGCCAACTATTTTTGCACAGATCAAAGTGTAAAACTGAAAATCCTTAAAATCCTTAGTAGGCAAAAAAAAGTGTGATCGCGCCGGTTGTCCTGATGCGCACTGCTATTTATTAATTTTTTGCGGTGTAATCCCGATGGAATTTGTTGCAGACTTTAACTGCAGATTATTTACAGGCTTTTAGTGATGAATTTTCGCATGAAGAGAATGGTACTTTGCGGCAGCAAGTGCTTCATCTTCTGTTCAACCGTGTACAGTTGCAACCACTTCAAGCTTTTGTATGCTCACATATGATCAGTGCACTGGAAAGGTTTGTTTTGCTTTTATTTCTACTTTTGCCGGACATTTCTACTGATCGCTGCCTCTGTTGCCGTTGAGCACTTTTTTGCGCATGGACATAGACCGGGAGGGAGACAAGCCTGTTTTCTTCAAATTTGAATGCGACGTGCTAAACCACTGCATTACCGGCCTTTATTGCTCCGGAAACAGCTTAATAGCATTTTCTTGTATGTATTTGTCTTACGTGAAGCAGTTGCACTTCCTTTTATGGTGACCTTTTTTCCAATTGGTTTTTTGCTGGTTTCCTCGACACTTCGGTTCAGTTGTAGCAGTTGACCGATTTCGACAATATAAGCTGTAAAACACCTTCTTTTGCAATAATTGATAGTACGGATTTCATTTTAAATCACCTGAAACTTGTGTAAGCACTTGTTCCTTCCCTTAGCAATACTAATCTACTAGTTTGGGAACGAATCAAGCAATATATGGCGCAGCAGGTGCGCATTTATTGAGAACTTCAAAATATGCGAATGCTCCCAGACACTTTGACATCAGCTTGTGGGGACAGACCTGCATTTCAGGGAAGTGGCCACACTTCGTGAAAAAGTGAAACACAATTACTCGTACGTATGCGGTCTCATGGTTATGCTGGTGAAAATTTGTGGTTCAAGGCAAGGCTTGGAAGCTTTCAGCGTTAAGAATAGTCTACTTATAACGTTATCTGAATTGCTACTGTTTGCGCCACAGGTCATTTTTATAATAACTTTACACCTGTTCTTGCTGCATTTCGCGTTTTTGCAGTGCTTTAAATAATTTCGTAAGGGTGTGCAATCATTTGTGAGTTTTATATGTATGCATGCGTTTGTGTGCGTTTTTACGTGTGCGTGTTTGTATTTCAACGAAAACTAAGACATCTAGTTAGTAAAAATCCAGTGATTATTTAATTTTAGAGCGCATTCAATTACACTAAGAGACCTATAAAGGGCTACTCTTCAGAACTGTCATGTTCCCGTTCGTGAGGCCTAGATACATCTAAATTTAAATGCTGAGTGACGCGCTTGAACAAGAAATATCCTCAGCATTTTGCATAGAAATCTACCGTGAGAAGTATAAATGCTTTCAAAACGTCGGCGAATTTTTTGGCATCCGGAAATACTATCCAGTCAGAAAACTGGAAAATTCACCATTTAACTAGAATGAATATTTTCTAGGTAGTGCAGTGTCAAGTGCTGGAAACAATCGAGCGCCTGTCTAAACTGTTCAAACCAGATGCTACGGGCTGCTCAAGTTTTACCCAAAATCTTTTGGCATTAATCGCAAAAGTGATAACACTGCAGATTCGTGACAAAATGACGCGATCATTAACTCCCGCATCTCTAGCGGTTCACTTTTTCATTTTCCATTAGTTTTCTTGTTTATTATTGTGTGTAATTTGCCGAGCTACGCAACTGCCTCAAGTACTGCATGAGAATCCTGGAGATTGCAACACGAGTAACTCCATAGAGACTTCGTCTTATTGGGCGATTGGAAGGAGGATGAGGAAGAGGGTGCATTAACTGGTAGACTATGAGATCATACAATTGAGACAGAAAGCCTAATACACTCAGCTTTCTCTGAAACTGTGAAAGTAAAATTCAGGAATGCGAGCATTCATTGCTAATTCCAGGTCAACTAGTAAAATATTGTCGTTTTCTTGAAAAGATATTTTCGTTTTTTTTTTTTTTTTTGGATTTTTAAGCTTTTTTATTTTAGTTTTATAAAGCTCGGTACCAACGGGAGAACTTGGTCAATGCAATTTACTGCTGATATAAATTGTAGATTTGAAATTTTGATTTGTACGATTGTTATTCCAGAGTCATGCGGTAAATGTTCCAGCAAATTGGCGAATTGATCGCTTAGTATCGTCAGATATCGGTCATCTTGCTAAAAAGCTATTGAAAGATTTGAGGTATTTATTCAATAGCGAAGAAACTCTTATTATCATTCTGCATGATTACTGATATGTATAATGAGATTTTTCCTCTCTGCTTCCTCCTCCACTTTCCCTCATTGCTTGTCTTCCGGGCATCAACATGTGCAAAAAACTGTGACTTGTCTTTTCTTTCTCCCCTACTTGAATGTTTGATCTGAGCATTAATGCAGATTCAGCCTGAACAGGCGTACAAAATCTCATTTTTCTTCAACAATTGAATTAACTTTCTACGTACTCCTTCATCCTTTTTACAGCGAAGGACTGGTGAATGAGCGGTGGACAGTTCCAGTACGTACAGAAGTCGCAAACGAAATCATGAATTTGACTTGCCTGAATCTCAGTCCTTCGCTTAGTAGCGATCAAATGCCGACAATTGCCGATATCAGTGCTTCCATTGTTACTGAGGCAATTAATGGCAGCAGTAATCCATGGTCATCAATACTCAAAAAAGGGAAATTTTGGCTTGCCGTTGCTGCCTTATCACTGCTTAAGGATCCTCAGTGGTTGGAGCTATCGCCAACATGGCAAAACTTACAGGTTAATGTTTCGTGACTGATGCTTTTGAGCTAAACTGGAAAGATTTCTTTGCTGGTGAACATTTAATAATCTGCGTGTCACGCGTGGTACAGTTCGAACACGGTAGACTTTGCAGAACAAATAAGATGCTCCGGGAGCTAAACGCATCAGCTAAAGGCACTAAAAGCGAAGATGAGGCAAAGTGCCGATATTTCTGCGGCCAGAATGCAGGTAGTTGGCGTTGATGTGAAAAATTGACAGTTACGTTTGCCTCGTCCACAAAGTGCCACAATGTTTGGCTGAAATTGCGCGCAGGGCTGCCGGTAGGTGAAAATTGCAAGACGCTGTCGCTGTCCTCAAAATAACATAGTGTAAGGATCGTGCCGACCTCTTATAACGTTACTGTGCTAAAAAAAAGTGATTTACGGATGCGAAACGTGGTCACTGACTGAAGTTGAAGGGCGAGCGCTAGTTGTGAAGAAGAGAGCGATGCAGCGAAAGATACTTGGCATTTTTGTCCGTGATCACGCAAATAACTGGTCTCCATCCGATGTGCATGATATCATTGCGATGGCGCAAGAAATTAAAGTCGGATGGACAGTGCAGGTTGCTTGGCTTTCTGACAGCCGGTGGGCATCGTGTGTCAGTGAGAAACATCTGCAGAAAAAGAAGCAACCACTCAGACGACATTAGGAGAGGTAATGTACATACATCGAACAGGCGGTACACAGCTCCGAATCGAAGGACTTGACGTAGTTGCACTGTACATGTGGAAGAATCTCAATTAGTTGTTAACTTCGGAACCCACACCGATTGTCCATGCACGTTTTTGAAGCGAATGCATTTGTAAAACTAGCATACAGTCTTTGCGTTTTATTTTCTCAAAAATAATTGTTCTAGTTTTTTTAAGAACAAAAAAGAAGGGGCTGCGGAAA